GTTCTTCAAAAAAGAGGTACTCCAAAATTCCTCCTCTATACTGAAAATATGCTTTAAGTATTGCATGTACTCTGATGAAATTTGAAAACCATGGAAGTCGACTTTTGCATCACTTTGTTCAGTACATGCTACTTTAGTACCAAAAACACTATTGACATCTTTGTGTGCTAGCATTAGGGAGGAAAAGCATGAAAATTAATTAGAATAACTCTAGCATCATCAGTAACAACTCCAACATCATGAACAATCTCAATATTAGGAGTAGCTCTGACATTACCGATGCAACACTAGGAGTAGCCCCAGTATCAATTCCAACATCTAGAGCAACCTTAATAGCAAAAATAACTTCATTGTTAGGAACATCCTTATTTTGAGTAGCCAGAGGAACAACCTCATCTTGAGTAGCCTATGGAGCAAGAATAATCTTAGTTTCAAAAAAAAATGAAACAACATCAACTGAAGAAACATTTTTAATATTGTTCTTACCTTATTTATATTGGAACTTTAAATGTGAGAGGGGAATAGAGCATCCAAATCAATGGAATCATTAAAAAGGTATGTCAATACCTTTGGCATTGTAAATGAAGTAACAACACCCTCAACTTCAGCTTTAACAACACCAATAGACTCGTCATATGTTTCATCATTATGTTTAGAGTCATATGATTCTTTTTTAGTCCTAGCTTCAAAAGTCTCTTTCTCTTCAACCGAGTTAAGTTCTACTCTCGCAGTTTTTCTTCCTACAAAAGAATATATATATATATATATAATGCATAAATGAATTTAAGAAAAAAAAAGTAGAAAAAGAAGTAAAGGATGAACTTACTTTTCGATGCTCATGTTTTGTTTGATGAGTAAGAGTGTGAAGAGCATCATCTTCTTCTTCATTTGAATTTCCTTTCTTTTTGAGAGAAATCAAGCGTAAGGGTACATCAGTGTTACTTATATGAAGAGTGTGGAGACAAGCTCTAGGATTAGTCAAAGGCACAATAAAAGATCTCCATTCTTCAATACACTCCCTCTAATAAGCAAACCATCCAGAAGTGTGGATACTAACTCTATCAAAAGTTGAGATAGTACAAATTTGAAGTTTATCTAAACAAAGTTAAAGTCCTGCCATGAGAAATGAAAAAATGCAAGAAGAAAAACTGATAGATGAAGAAAAGTTAGGTAGAGCTGGTTGGTCAAATCCAAATTGACGTGGCACTCTATAAGGAGAATACATCTCGACAAAATGAAAGTCTCTATCTCCACCAGAACTATAACTCTCAATCATAGAAGGGAGTTAAGAACTATGAACCCATATACAAAAGTTAATATCTTGTGAGCTCATTCTTTCAAGTTGTAGAGGATGGTGGTCATAATAAATTTTAAGATCACCACATCCATTTATAGGCTACACATAAGGTTTGGGATTGAATTTTTTTTGTCACATCCATCACTTCAAGAACATTACCCCTTGGTAGTTGATCATGCCATGCCTAAGCTCTATAGTTGTTCCTGGATAGAGGGTTATTCACAGAAAAATATGCAAAAGGATGTGCATTAGGCACAAAAGTGCAAGTACCAAACCTTTCCCAAAAACACATCTGAATGAAGGAAGCATCCATATTAGTCAAAACTTTGTAACGCTCAGTTGACTCAACAGTTTTGAGTTGGTATAAGTCTAGCCTCTTATATAAAGATCTTAAATACAATGGGGCAAGAGGAAAACATACTCCCTTCACAATTTTTATTGCTAAAGGAAACAACTACCGAAAAGATACCATCATCTAGACACTCTAGGAGTATGTGTCATGCCAACCAAAAGATTATTAAAGCCACTAGCTCATGCTTATGGTTTGGATACTTAAGAGAACCAATCTCAATCCCCTTGGTATTCAAATTTTTTATAAAAAAATCTCTATCCTATTGGAGAATCGTGCAACCTTCAAAGTTTTACTCAGACACTTAAGTAGATCAACGAAAAAGTCTCGAATACATACCTCTTCTTTAGAAAGCTTGATAGAGTGAAAATTATGCTTCCCTATATAAAGAAGTTCTAAGAGAACACACACATTTTCCAAGTGAAAGTAAATTCCCCCCATGCTTTAATCATAGTGTAAGAAAAAATATTCCATCAAGTAAGAATAACATGCCATACATCCATCCCTTTCTCTTTACGAATATTGAGCTTAGAAGTGACACGTACAACATTAAGTATTCTAGCAAATGAGAGAAGTTTAAGATAAGTAGGATTCTTCAATAACTTATTTACCCATTCATCCTAGCCATGACCAAATTGAGAACTGAAGCCTAGCTTAGTAGTAGAAAGTGAAAACTCACCACGCTCAAACCTGAACTTCAAAATGGATAATCCTGGAATACCACTTCTTTTATGAGGAGGTGTTTCTATGCATAAACGATTCTAATCATATCCAACATGCTTAGAGGGATGTTCATCAACTTGCTTGGCATGAACTTCCTCCTAAAAACAATCTTCGGCTCTTTCTCTAATCATTTCATCGTCCCAGTTTTCAAGGACAAAAGGAACTTCATCACTTTTTCTTACTCTAATTTTCTTGGAGGAATTACTTCGGAGTCATTACTCTTCCTTTAATGTGCAGTGATCTTTTTTCTTGTTGCAGCCATTCCAAGCTCACCATAATGAGTCTTTGAAGGGAAGCGTGTCCTAGGCATAAAAAAAGATAAAAAAAAGAAGCCTACAAATATGATCATGGAAAAAAATATCAGTATACATATGTAATTATTTTTTTATTTACTTATTTATTAAGCATGAAAAATCACAACAATAACGAAGTAAAACAATAAAACTTATCAAAATTATAGATTTTGATATTATTATTTTTAATAATATATATAATAAAAATGTTATACATATGCAATACAAAAATATATATAATAAATATGTAAAACTTAAAAAAAATCTACAGCTTCAAATAAAAATAACATAATAATAAAATAATTAAAAATTATAGTTAAAAAAAAAAACTCACTGCATATATGTCGCGAGCTCCAAAAAAATAGCTCACGGTATATTTTGCGAGCTCTAATAGAAATAATGCTGCAAACTTCAAAAGAAATAGCTCGCTGCATGCCGCGAGGTCCAAAATAAAGCTCCAAAACAAAATTATAAAAGGTGCCACAAAAGCCACAAGCTTCAGAACAAAAGCCAAGTAAAATAAATAAAAAAAACTATGACTTGTCATAAGTCTAAAACAAAAGCACTGTTTCTAAAGTCCTCTTTCACACTTTTACTTGTACTGTGAGCTCTAGAGCTCTAAAACAAAGCTTCAAAATTTCAAAAGCTCAATTGTATATATTAAAAAAAACAAAAGAGAACCTAAGCTTCAATGTTAGAAAAAACATCAATTAAATAAAAAAAATCATCACAACTTGTTCAGTGAGCAAACAACATAAGAGATATACTTAAATGTCCTCTGCAACTCTAATATTTGTTTTGTTTAAGATATTCATGAGATAAATATAATTTTAAAAAAAAATCTTTAGACTGCTTTACAGAATTAAGATTTATTCATAAGTCATGATCTAAAACCCTATTATAATAATTCAATTCCATAGAGATTCTAAGTATATCTAATAAGTGGATAATATATCTAGCTTTACTTGTCTAATAATCATATCTAAAGTCAAACAATTTGTTTGTTTCCTTGAACATATGTATACATTTATACATAAAAAAAGAAAACTCTTTAAATCTAAAAACTCATGCATGAAAATAAAAATTTTTTCTCTAATATTTTAATAAAAAAATTGTTTTAATGCAAGGGGCAATAAACAAAAGAAATTCAATTTATTTAAAAAACAATAAAAATACAAAAAGAGAGAAAGCAAGAAATTATATAACAAAGATTTACTTGCTCAAAAAGATTCCCAAAATAGCAGACCTTTTGTTCTGAATTTTTGTTTTACTTTGAAATCCAATTGAAGAATATTGTTCATAGTAACTTTATATTTATAGGCCACATAAAATCCAGGTTTTTTTAAAAAAAGATTAATTGTCATTTTACACTTTATATCTTAAGAATCTTATTTTATGAAAAATATATTGTTATATGAGCAATCAAATATTACACAAGATAGTAACATGTTACTACCTGAAGCATTATTGACTACGGTGTTACTATCTAAAAGGTATTATTACCCGAAGTGTTACTGTACAATACATTATAACACAAAATAAAACTTTCCCTAAATTAATACATAAGAATTATTTTTAAAGAAAAAAATTCTTATACAAAAGGTAAAATGTAGATACTTGATTTTGATTAATATCTACTTTTTAAAGAATTATTTTACAACATAATATTGTACAGAGAACAATCAAAATGAGTGAAGCACTACTTCACACTAAACAACTAAAACATGTGAAGTGTTACTTCACACAACAATTAGAACAAGTAAAGTGTTACTTCACGTAGAACAACTAAAATAAGTGAAATACTACTCCATATGGAACAACTAATACAAGTAGAGCAGTTACTTCGTACAAAATAACCCATTCGCATGGATGACAGTGAAAGTAACTTAATTATTTTGATCTTGAGATATTCCAAAGAATTTGACTTGGTAGCTAAGTTATAGAGATCATTAAAAGATCTTTCTCTTAACCTTTTCATGAAGTACAAGTGTTTCATCCTCCTATCGTGGTTCTCATATTCATATTCACATAAACCTTCTTCTCTTGTACCCATTCATGTATAGCTTCTTTTCTTGTACGTATTTACGTACAACTTCTTATCTTGTACCTTTTCACGTATACTTCTCTGTTATCTTTTGCTCAAGAACAAGTTTTATTACACTTAATTACAGTAACGATTATTCACATTAAAGCTCTTCATAATAATGTCATTCATTAGACACATTAAAGCTTATTGTTGAGTGACTGCTACTTTTAGCACTATATCTAGAGCCTCACAATTCATTTAGAAGGGCTCTACTCTTCTAAAGCTAACACATTCTCCTTTAGAGAGCTTCTTTCTCTAAATTATTTCTCTAATTCTCTTCTTGTTCTTTTCCATCTGTCACTACACTCAATACTTCAAGAACTACTTCAATCTTCCTCTCTGTTGCCTCCGACGAACCCTTTTACTTGTTTGCAACGCGTCCTCTCCCTATCACAAGAACCACATTTACAGTATTTAACCATGATTATTCAAAAATCTGTCAACACATTATCGACTAACCATTATTATTAGCTGACAATAAATGCAATGCATAATCATTAATATTAATAGTCAATAATTGTAGTGCATAATTATAAGAAAGATGTTAATAATGGTTGTTGTTAAGAATGATGTTAATAATGGTAGTTAATAATCCTTGTCATACCAAAAGGATTGCTCTCTTTGGTTGCTTTTTCTGCTCTCTTATGACGATAAGCATAAATCCCAGAGAGCACTAATAGTAAAAACAGCACTGAAGCACCAACCGCTGCTCCTATTTTGATGGCAATGCTAGATTTTTTTGTGTTGGCAGGTTCATCTGGATGAAAACAAACATGCATAGAAAAAGATGAATCTAAATAAATAGAGAAATTTACAAATTCATTTGCGTCTACTCTATAAGCATTACCAGAAAAGTGCTCATATTCGTCACCAATAAAAACATAAGGTCCAAAGAGCTGTTTAGGAGGCTTGAAAGTCTGGTTGCTAAATCCAAATGCAATCATAGAAATTCCAGTTCTATTGAAACTGTCTTGGCCATCTGGAAACACACTAAGGTCTAATAGAAGATATTCAAATGAATCCTTTCTTGGATCATTTAGTGAAACAGAAGCCACAGGAAGTTGATGGGACTGGAAGAACTGCATCAAAGATTGCTCTAGAAATTCATATGGAGCTGACTTTTCAAAGTCTGAGAAGAAAAGGCCTCTGAACAATAGTGTTCCTGTATATGGATGTGCACATCTACATGTGGGGCTAATAATTTGATCTGAACTGCATGAAACAGGCAGACAGATCTTTGAAGGGGTTGAATACAAAGGCCATGAGTTTGATGGGGGAAGTTTGCAGTAAGTGCTTGTTGTTTCTGTCTCCTGGCATACTGGATTACCCACAAGTCTGCAAAAATTGGTAGAAAGAACTTCAGTGATGTTTAAAACATTAATAATTTTAACATTAACTAAATGTATCTGCGGGTAATTTAACTTACAACGAGTATGAGAATCCAAGCCTACTTATTCAACAAAATAGAAAAGAAAAACATGTCCAGAAAAATGTTAAAGAATTCTTGCTTACATTATGTCAAATTTGTATGTTCTGCCTCTGTCATTGAAACCAGTAATGGAATTGTACTGCAAATCTATGGTTTTCAGTTGGTTGCTAAACCTTGGCCCAATCTCCAAGGTACCATTAAGTCGGTTGCCTTTTAGTACCCTGTCAACAAAACAACAGCCAAAGGGGGCAAAAATCTAACTATCATATCTAGATTGTGACAACTATGTGACATTTTTTATTTGGATCCACATTTCCAGTACAATTGGTGCTACATAAGGTCAAGCTTGCTCACACAGTCTGCAAATTTGGAAGCTCAAAGAATCTGGCAGGAACTTGACCTCGAAGTTGTGTATGTTCCATCATTCTGCCACACAAATAAATTGATTATTCTCCCATATACATAAAAATACCTGTGAGAAAGAAGATATATAGACAGAAGTACTTATGATATTACAGAATGACGTCTTAGACTAAGTCAAATGGTAGAAAAAGGACTTCAGTTCTACAGTTATAACAGTTATGATATTTCAATGTTCAGTTTAATTTCATGTTCCTGTGTTGGTGCAAAAGGAATAAGAGAGAGAGAGAGAGAGAGAGAGAGAGAGAGAAAGAGGAAAATACAATGTTGTCAAGGCTGGCAAGGTTGGAAACCACGAAGGAATGTCTGATGAGTCAAACCTATTATTACTCAAGTATCTGCACAATCATGTAAGAGAACAAAGATTAGTAAAGACAATAAAATTGTTTACGATTACTAAATAATATAGCTATGATGAGCAGCATTTCACTTGGACACACACAAA